GCGGGGCTACTCGGTCGTGATCGCGTACCGCGCTGATGCCGACGCAGCTGCAGCTGTGTGCAGAGAGATCCAGTCGGCAGGAGGGGCAGTGAAGGCCATCCAGGCCGACGTCGCCGAGGAGTGCGACGTCCGCGCCCTCTTTGAGTTTGCGGACACGGCCTTCGAGCCCTTGCCGCTCACGGTGCTGGTCAACAACGCGGGGGTGCTGGGCCCGAGGGGCCCACTGAGCGAAGTAGGAACAGAGGACCAGCTCAGTGGTGTGATGAGGACCAACCTGGTCGGGTCCATGCTTTGCTGCCGCGAGGCGGAGAGACGCATGTCGACCAAGTTGGGAGGCAGTGGCGGCAGTATCGTCCAGGTCTCATCTGGCTCGGCGTACATTGGGACGCCCCTCCTGTACCTTACCGTTGGTTAGTAGGGAATGAGGGAATGAGGTATCCTATATCCCCCTATACATACCCTTTAAGGGAGTATAGTTGGGTACCGTATTCCCTCCTTCCCTACTAACCAACCGTAAGGTACGCCGCCTCCAAGGGGGCTCTGAACTCCCTGACGATTGGACTCGTGAAGCCGCTTGGCGAGGCAGGGATCCGGATCAACACTGTATCCCCCGGCGTGACCGCGACGGACATGGTTGCCAACACGCTGACTTTTGACAGCAAGGTGGAGGGGGGGCGGGGGGGCGGCGGGGTGTCCGAAAGGAAGGGAGTACCATAGGAAATGGTCGACCCCCAAATCCTTCGTCATCCTGGTTCTTACTTACAGGAACCTCTCAAAGGGTGCCAGACCCTAAACCCTACACCCTACACCCTACACCCTAAACCCTAAACCCTAAACCATAAACCCTAGACCCCAAACCCTAAACCCTAAACCCTAAACCCTAAACCCTAAACCCTAAACCCTAAACCCTAAACCCTAAACCCCCAAAAGGGTGCCTGACTTCTTGGAGAAACCAACAGGTGGTCCCGCTCGGGCGAGTGGCCGAGCCTGACGAGATCGCCAACGCCGTGTGCTGGCTCTGCTCGGACGAGGCCTCGTACGTCGCGGGCGCGAACATACGCGTTTCGGGAGGCAAGCCTCCCGGCACCACTCTGGGTTAGATACCCCTGAACCCTATAGCGCCTAAACCCTAAACTCTAACCCCTAGACCCTATACCCTGCAAACCCTAAGCCCTAAACCGTAAACCCTGAACCTTATAAACCTCAACCCTCTAGACCCTATACCCTATAGACCCTCAACCCTGAACCCCAACAATTGCGCGGTGAGCAGACCGAAGACAGGAGGACGCGCGCGAAAAGGGAAGCCAGGTTAAGGGAGGTTATCAGGGTGTTTTGGGATGCTCCATGTTTTGCTTCTGTGTGTGTGTGTGTGTGTGTTTTTTTTTTTTTTTTTTGGGGGGGGGGGGGGGGGTTTAGGGCTTTTGGTGTGATGTCTCAACACCATTCCCTACACTCATACACCCTGTACGCCCTATCATGATTAGCACTTTTGGCGCTCAGGTTGGGTTGTCGGGCTTCCTTGCAGCTCAAGGCTTCGGGGTTGCAAGCTGCAGTTTCTGTCTTAGGGTAGTTTCATTCTGCCTAAGGAGGGTCCTCTACCCCCTCTAAAGGGTTCTGATGCATGGGCTCTTGGGTATATAAGGGGTATTTAAGGGTCCCCTTTTCAGGGACCATATGAAGGGACCGTGTAGACCTAAACCCTAAACCCTAAACCCTAAACCCTAAACCCTAAACCCTAAACCCTAAACCCTAAACCCTAAACCCTAAACCCTAAACCCTAAACCCTAAACCCTAAACCCTAAACCCTAAACCCTAAACCCTAAACCCTAAACCCCAAACCCTAAGCCCTACACCCTAAACCCTAAAGACTAAAGACCCTAAACCCTAAAGATTTTGCAGTCTCCAAGGACGGCTATCGCCAAGACGAACTTGTACGAAGACGTTCCCGGCACGGGGGGGCTCTCCTAACCGTTGGGATGCTGTTTATTTTCCCCTAAACCCTAAACAGGAAACCCTAAGCCCTAAAACCTAAACCCCAAACCCCCGAGGATCATAGTTAGGATTTTTTCAGAAGGTTCTCAGGGTCAGGATAGCTGGAGCAAAGTAATTTAGGGGTCGGAATATTTACTTATAGTAGCCCTTACGAATATCCCTATTAAGGACTGTTAGCATAAGGGGGGACATCCCTAAACTCAGGGCCTAGGCCGCCCCCCTACAGAGGGGGGGCGGCGCTTAAGCCCTTCGACCTCTATGGCGAAGGTCGACCCAGGTCGCTTGCCCGCCTCCTGCAGCCAGGAGGTCGGTAGCACCCACGATGGGCCCGGTACCGGAGCAGGTTCTCCCGGGGACCAGTACTGGTCCCCTTAATAAAGTAAATACCCTAAACCCCAAGCGCTGCACCCTGGATGGGGCTGGCATTTCGGGGGGGGGTACCCCAAGGCCCCCAGGCCAGGAGGACCTGGACCCCTCACCGCAGCGTGTCCAGGGACCAGGGGGCCGCAGGCCAGGCCACGCAGGGCGGGTGCTCCAAAAAGCTGCTTTTTGGTTTTTCCTGGCCCTCTGAGCCCACCTGGGCCCCTGGGCCCCCCTGGGCGGCCCCCCTGGGCCCCCCTGGGCCCCCCTGGGCCCCCCTGGGCCCCCCTGAACCCCCTGGGCCCCCCTGGGCCCCCCTAACGCCTGGCCCCTCTGCGCCCCCCTGGGCCCCCCTCACTTTCCTGAACCCCCGCTCTACCCCCACTGCTGGGGGCCCCTAGGCCCTTCTGGGCCCCGGGCCCCCCTGGGCCCCCCGTGAGCTCCTGGGGCTGCCTGGGCCTCCCTGCGCCTGCTTGGGGCCTCCTTAATTGGGCCGCTCTGGGCCCCTCTGCCGGGCCCCTGGGCTGCCCAGACTGACCCTGGCCTGGGCCCGTCTCCCTCTGTGGAGGCTTGTTTTTTGCGAAAAGCCGTGACGGAATGAAGAAGTTTTATGTAAAGAAAGCAGTTGGCTTGAGTTTAGGCCTAAACCCTAAAAGGAATAGGTTTGGGTGGCTTTGCCGCCTTGGACGGCGTGGGGTGGGAGAGAAGTGTTAGATGGCCTTCCACAATCGGGCCAAAGCTGCTCTTCGCACCTCACGACGCTTTCGAGCTTGTTCCAAAACCTAACCTTCACAGCATCTACGCCCTATCACAGGAAACCCTAAACCCTAAACCCTAAACCCTAAACCCTAAACCCTCAACCCTAATCCCTAATCCCTCAACCCTAAACCCTAAACCCTAAACACTAAACCCTAAACCCTAAACCCCTAAACCCTAAACCCTATGACTTCGGCGGGCAGGAATGGATTATAGCATCATGAAGCCGTTCCTCGAGGGTGTGGCCCACGATGTTCTTACGACGGAGCTGCGGGGTTGAGGGTTGAGGGGTGAGGGTTTAGGGTTTAGGGTTTAGGGTTTAGGGTTTAGGGTTTAGGGGCTTAGGGGTTTAGGGGTTTAGGGGTTTAAGGTTTAGGGTTTAGGGGTTTAGGGGTTTAGGGGTTTAGGGGTTTAGGGGTTTAGGGGTTTAGGGGTTTAGGGGTTTAGGGGTTTAAGGTTTAGGGTTTAGGGTTTAGGGGTTTAGGGGTTTAGGGTTTAGGGTTTAGGGTTTAGGGTTTAGGGGTTTAGGGTTTAGGGTTCAGGGTTTCGGGTTTCGGGTTTAGGGTTTGGGGCTCAGGGAACCCTAAGCCCTAAGCCCTTAGACCCTAAACCCTATCCGGCATCGCACATATTCAAGCAAGACCCAGGTGGCGAACGTCGAGGCTCGCTGTACCATGTAGCGGCACCCTAAACCCTAAACCCTAAACCCTAAACCCTAAACCCTAAACCCTAAACCCTAAACCCTAAACCCTAAACCCTAAACCCTAAACCCGAATCCCCTAAACCCTAAACCCTAAAACTCTAAGCAAGTTCAGGGGTAAGGGCTCTTAGGTTTGGGCCATGCACCGGATGATGACTCGAAACTTTCCAGGTGTCAGACAGCTTTGGTTTGCGCATAGCACGCGAAAGGCAAGCTAGCTTGTCAAGCGAGGTCTAGGGTTCAGGGTTCAATCCAGTCGCCCTAAACCCTAAACCCTAAACCCTCAACCCTAAACCCTAAACCCTAAACCCTCAACCCTCAACCCTAAACCCTAAACCCTGAACCCTAAACCCTCAACCCTCAACCCTCAACCCTCAACCCTAAACACTAAACCCTAATCCCTAAACCCTAAACCCTAAACCCTGCGACTCCATTCATCCAGACGCGTCTTGGACGTGGACTTGTCGGCATGATCTTTTATGTGCTCGGGCCTTTTTATCTAATGCAAATCTGCCCCGCTCCCTTCTACCCTTATCCTCCAAAAGCCCTTAACCAATGAGATCACCATAGCATCCTTTGTGCAACTTGCGTAACATTGTTGATCTTTAGGGGTTTTTGGAGGTTTGGGGCAGATAATTACCTCTGTACGTTTTGAATGGCATTCCTTCACAGAGGCACCCTCCCCGAAAGGGACCCAAATGCCTTAGCCCTAAGCCCTAAAGCCCGAAGGTTAGGGTTTGCGGCTTTACCGAGGGCTTTGGGGTCTTGGATTGAGGGTTTAGGGTTTGGGGTTTGGGGTTTAGGGTTTGAGGGTTTAGGGCCCTAAACCCTAAACCCTAAACCCTAAACCCTAAGCCCTAAGCCCTAAGCCCTAAGCCCTAAGCCCTAAGCCCTAAGCCCTAAGCCCTAAGCCCTAAGCCCTAAGCCCTAAGCCCTAAGCCCTAAACGCTCCGTACTCCGGCAGCAGGAGCTCCATGAGCATGGCTTTGCCCGCATGGTGACGGCCAGCCACCATGCAGCTCCCCGGCGCGTGCAGCAGGATTGGGTTTAGGGTTTAGGGTTTAGGGTTTAGGGTTTAGGGTTTAGGGTTTAGGGTTTAGGGTTTAGGGTTTAGGGTTTAGGGTTTAGGGTTTAGTTTTAGGGTTTAGGGTTTAGGGTTTAGGGTTTAGGGTTTAGGGTTTAGGGTTTAGGGTTTAGGGTTTAGGGTTTAGGGTTTAGGGTTTAGGGTTTAGGGTTTAGGGTTTAGGGTGTAGGGTTAGGGTTTAGGGTTTAGGGTTTAGGGTTTAGGGTTTAGGGTTTAGGGTTTAGGGTTTAGGGTTTAGGGTTTAGGGTTTAGGGTTTAGGTTTTAGGGTTTAGGGTTTAGGGTTTAGGGTTTAGGGTTTAGGGTTTAGGGTTTAGGGTTTAGGGTTTAGGGTTTAGGGTTTAGGGTTTAAGGTTTAGCGGCAGAGGTGTGCTTGACGCTTAGAAAGGGCTTTTGGGGATTTGAACGCTAAACCCTAAACCCTAAACCCTAAACCCTAAAACCTAAACCCTAAACCCTAATTAAACCCTAAACCCTAAACCCTAAACCCTAAATCAAAAACCCTAAACCCTGAATTTTGAGGGTTTTGTTTTGTTTTGCTTCTTTTGTAGGGGTTTGGGGTTGAGGGTTCATGTATGGAATGGGGTTAAGGGTTTAGGGTTTCGGGTTTTAGGGTTATGGCTTAGGGCTTCGGGTTGAGGGCTTAAGGGCTAGAGGATTTGCTCTGGTTCTTGGTAAGGTTTAGGTACCCTTCAGAGTCTATAGTTCTCTTAGGTCTATACGGTTTGGGGTTTTGGGTTTTGGGTCTAGAGTATGGAGCTGTTTTCCCCCAAGCCATGTGGCGACACTGCGTTATAAAAGGGGCCTCCTCATTGTTGCAGGATGTCTAACCTAGGTCAGACCCTCAACCCTAATCCAAAAACCCTAAACCCTAAACCCAAAACCCTAACCCTAAACCCTAAGCCCTCGACCTTAGGGACCTTCGTTCTGCGAGTCTAACCTTCAGGGTAAGCACAGACACGACAAAGGATCCTCGTTTGATCGAGGAACTTTTCTGGAGCCCTTAATCCTAGACTCTGGGGTTTCGGGTTTAGGGCTTAGGGTTTAGGGTTTAGGGTTTAGGGTTTAGGATTTCTGGTTTAGGGTTTAGGGTACTTCTGCCTCCGCCCTTGCAGCCGCTTGCGTGGCTCTCGCCTAAACCGAAGGGATTCCATTGTTGGGGTTCATCATGCGTTTCTCGAATTACCCCCTCTGTACACCTTCCCCTGGGTTCACCCTAAACCCTAAACCCTAAACCCTAAACCCTAAACCCTCAACCCTCAACCCTCAACCCTCAACCCTCAACCCTCAACCCTAAACCCTAAACCCTAAACCACCTTAATTAGGCTTAGTTATCCTTAAACGGCCTTAAATATAGGGGGAATCTTGGGTGGTGGGAGTAGGGAACCCATGAGTTCAGTGTTTAGGGATTCCATTGTGGTGAGTTTCTGTTTATACCCAGGGTTTAGGGTTTAGGGTTTAGGGTTTAGGGTATTCTTCTGAGGGTAGTTTCATGGGCCCTTAATATGGTCCCTAACCTCCCTTAAAGATTTCGGATGTATGGGCCCTTAGTTTGTAAGGGTATATAAGGGGTATATAAGGGGTACCCTTTTAAGTGCCCATGCTAAGGGACCAGGTAACTACCCTTAGATTGAGGGTTTAGGGGTTCCATTGCTTGTTAGTTTCTGTTTCTACCCATACTACTCGTCTGGTCTGTGCGAGTATCATGTCCCCCTAAGTCCCATTAAGCCCTAAACCCTAAACCGGGAACCCTGAACCCTAACTTACCATGATGATGGGAGTTCCGGGTGTGCTGGTAAACTTTAAACCCTCACCCCTGAACCCTGCGCCTTAAGACCCAAGCCCCGAAACCCCAAACCCTAAAACCCTACAGTGGCAGGACCGAGCACCCCTAAACCCTCTGCGCCCAAGCCCCTAAGCCCCTGGACCCTGTAGGATTTCGGGGTTTGGGATTAGGGTTTAGGGTTTAGGGTTTAGGGTTTTCGTTTTAGGGTTTAGGGCTTTGGGTTTAGGGTTTAGGGTTTCGGTTGTGAGGTGATCATTGGCGACTTGCACGGCCAGCTCTTTAACCTGCTCGCCTACCTCAAGCAACTCAAAGCGGACCGACCATAAGCCCTAACCCCTAAACCCTAAACCCGAAACCCTAAACCCTAAACCCTAGACCCTAAACCCTGGGTTTAGGGGCGAGGGCTGAAGGGTTGAGGGTTTAGGTGGGGGCTTAGGGTTCCAGCGCCGGGCTTCGCCTCAACAGCGACCTATCTATCGAGTTCGAAGCCATCCCGCTCTCCCATCGGGTTTATATGGTTTGGGGTTAGGGTTTAGGGTTTAGGGTTTAGGGTTTAGGGTTTAGGGTTTAGGGTTTGGGGTTGAGGGTTTGGGGTCTGACACTGTGGAGCGGTTAGGGTTTAGAGAGCTACCATACTGTGGATACTTCTCAGGTGAGAAATATGATCTCCTTATCTTGGTGCAAGTTCCTCAAGAGCCGCCCAGTAAGGCTTCCCTGAGCTGACCCCTTATATGCCCCTGATATACTCTACAAAACCCAAGGGCCTAATCAGGGCCCATAACCCATAACCCTAAACCCTAAACCCTAAATCCTAAACCCTAAACCCTAAACCCTAAACCCTAAACCCTAAACCCTAAACCCTAAACCCTAAACCCTTGATAAAAAGCCTTGGTGGCCCAGTGGTACGCTTTTATCCCTTTTTTGGGTTCTAGGTTCACTGAGAAAGTAACCAACCCTCAAGAAGGGTACCCTTACTGTAATACCCTAAACCCTAAACGCTAATAAACCCTAAACCCTAAACCCTAAACCCTAAACCCTAAACCCTAAACCCTAAACCCGAAGACCATGTATCTTCGCCTAGATCCTTAAAGTCTCAGCCCCTGAGCCCTCGCAACTTGGGCACGGTAGACTGAACCCTGAGTCCCAAAGCCTGCACCCTAGAACCCTAAAGTTCCCAAACCTTGAAGCCCTAAAACCCTAAACCCTAAACCCTAAACCCTAAACCCTAAACCCTAAACCCTAAACCCTAAACCCTAAACCCAAACCCTAAACCCCAAGCCCTAAACCCCAAACCCCAAACCTTGGCTTGGAAGGACTTCCCCGACTACAACACGCTGCCAGAATCCAAGCTTTTCATTTGCGACCCGAAGACGCTGGGACGCCCATTAGTACGTGTTGTTAGGGTGTAGTGTCTAGGGTTTAGGGTTTAGGTTTAGGGTTAGGGTTTAGGGTTTAGGGTTTAGGGTTTAGGGTTAATGTTGGACCCCGGTTTGGTATGAGGCCCCGCCCCCCCCCCCCCCCCCCCCCCCTCCCCAAACAATTTTGGGGTTTTCTATAAACTGGGTTGGGGTCTGGGGGTAGGGCGGGTAGGGGTCGAGGAACCCTAAACCCTAAACCCTAAACCCTAAACCCTAAACCCTAAACCCTAAACCCTAAACCCTAAACCCTAAACCCTAAACCCTAAACCCTAAACCCTAAACCCTGAACCCTAAACCCTAAACCCTAAACCCTAAACCCTAAACCCTAAACCCTAAACCCTAAACCCTAAGCCTTGAGGCTTGAGGGTCGAAGCTTTCCAGGCTTTGTGGCTCCCTGGCCAGGGGGTCTGCGGACTAATGCGGGTAACCGAAACAATTAGGGTTTAGGGTTTAGGGTTTAGGGTTTAGGGTTTAGGGCTTAGGGTTTAGGGTTTAGGGTTTAGGGTTTGCGAACCAGGGAAGCTCGTGGGCTATTCTTTTTGAGAATAGTTTGGGGGCCTGTTTCGTAATGAAATTTTACCAGGAATTCAAATAAAGCCGGAGACCAGAAAAGTCTGGAGCTTCTTCTCCAAAACTACTTTTAGTTTTTGGCTCCCCGCCCCCCCCCGCCCTTCATCCCCGGGCCGCGAACATCGCATAATTGCGGGCAACCCTCATCAGGGGGGGGCCTAGAAGTTTTCGGTCAAAACGCTCAATAGCGCCCACCTTCACTAAACCCTAAACCCCAAACCCTAAACCCTAAACCCTGAACCCTAAACCCCCAACATTTGGGCTTGGGGTTTAGGGTTACTAGGATCCTTATCCCAGCATCCCCTAGACTGACCTAGACTAAACCCTAAACCCTAAACCCTAAACCCTGAACCCTGAACCCTAAACCCTAAACCCTAAACCCTAAACCCTAAACCCTATGAACCCTATGAACCCTATGAACCCTGCGACCTAACCCTAAACCCTAAACCCTAAACGCTAAACCCTAAACCCTCCACCCTCAACCCTCAACCCTCAACCCTCAACCCTCAACCCTAAACTCTAACCCTGAACCCTCAACCCTAAACTCTAAACCCTGAACCCTAAACCCTAAACCCTAAACCCTAAACCCTAAACCCTAAACCCTAAACCCTAAACCCTAAACCCTAAACCCTAAACCCTAAACCCTAAACCCTAAACGGTACGTGGAGGGGGTGGGGGGGGGGGGGGGCACCCAGGATGCAGTACGTCTTCATGGGCGACTATGTGGACCGAGGCGGCCTCTGGAGTTTAGGGTTTAGGGTTTAGGGTTTAGGGTTTAGGGTTTAGGGTTTAGGGTGTAGGGTGTAAGGGTGTAGGGTTTAGGGTTTCGAGACTCCATTTGGTTTAGGGTTTTGGGTTTCGGGCTTAGGGTTCTCCTGATGATGAGAGAATATTCCTGAGGACGGAGTTTGGAGTCTCTGGGCAGTTCCGCCCAGCGTGCTTGAATGAATGTGGCATGGTTGGGTCGAAAACCAAACCCCCTACACCATAAACCTTGAACCCAAAACCCAAAACCGCATATGTGTTGTTGCTGAACCCTAAACCCTAAACCCTAAACCCTAAAACCCTAAATCCTACACTTTAAACCCTAAACCCCAAAACCCCAAACCCCAAACCCTAAACCCTAAACCCTCAACCCTAAACCCTGTGTTGTTGCTGAAGTGGGTAAGGGGTCTCGGAGTGGGGTTGTAGAGCTGAAAGGACTCGCTTTGAGTTGCTTCGGAGACTTCCTTGCGGCCTAAACCCTAAACCCTAAACCCTAAACCCTAAACCCTAAACCCTAAACCCTAAACCCTAAACCCTAAACCCTAAACCCTAAATCCGAATGCCCGCGCCGGATCTTCGAGCTACGAGACTGCTACGGTTCTTGCCAACGGTTGGGGCTCGTGATTTGTGATTTGGGAGCATGATAGGAGTGTTATGATTTGGGAGTTAGGGGTTTCTGGCGTTCAAAACCTGAACCTGCCGCCTTTCTCGGGGGCAGGTGCCTGTAGTTAAGCCTTGTTCGAAGGCGCGAGGCGGGACGAGATGATAAGTTTTGTCATCTGCAACCCTAAACCCCAAACCCTAAACCCCGAAATCTGTCTTTAAGTTTAAAGCTTAAACCTCGGCCTGCAGGGGCAGAAGGCATGTTAGGTACATGTTCACGGCATCGAAATCGAGGGCTTGGGGTATCTTCAGGGAGCCTGTTCGGGTTTGGGGTTTAGGGTTCCGGCACCTAGAGTAGGACTCCTAACCTCTACACCCTACTAGTAATTTCTTAAGACAACCCCCCCCCCAAAAAAAAAAAAAAACTGACTACTATTTTTTTATAATTCTTTTGGGGTTCTTAGACAAATAGTAGCCTACACCCCAACCCACACCCTCAATCCTATAAACCCAAAACCGCTCAAGGTGATGTAGGCTGGCCGTGTCCCAGGTAGATGTCTGGCTCCCACGATCTGACCCTAAGCCCTAAGCCCTAAGCCCTAAGCCCTAAGCCCTAAGCCCTAAGCCCTAAGCCCTAAGCCCTAAGCCCTAAGCCCTAAGCCCTAAGCCCTAAGCCCTAAGCCCTAAGCCCTAAGCCCTAAGCCCTAAGCCCTAAGCCCTAAGCCCGAAGCCCGAAGCCCGAAGCCCGAAGCCCGAAGCCCTAAGCCCTAAGCCCTAAGCCCTAAGCCCTAAGCCCTAAGCCCTAAGCCCTAAGCCCTAAGCCCTAAGCCCTAAGCCCTAAGCCCTAAGCCCTAAGCCCTAAGCCCTAAGCCCTAAGCCCTAAGCCCTAAGCCCTAAACCTGACAGAGGGTTCATGGTGACTTTTGTATGGGGTGTGGGGTGTCGGGTTTAAAGCTTGGGGTTCAAGCCCAAACCCATACCCCGGTTTAGGATTTAGGGTTTAGGGCTTAGGGTTTAGGGTTTAGGGTTTCGGGTTTAGGGTTTAGGGCAGTACCCTAAACCCCTGAAGCCCTGAAGCTCCTATGCCTAGTTCCGCACAAGTCCCTTCGCAGGCGAGCGAAGCATTGAGATCGTCTTGCTGCTCTTTGCGTATAAGGCCTTTACTGGCTGACCTAAACCCTAAACCCTAAGCCCCAACCCCTAAGCCCTAAGCCCTACACCCTAAATTCCTTAAGCCCTAAACCCTAAACCCTAAACCCTAAACCCTAAACCCTAAACCCTAAACCCTAAACCCTAAACCCTAAACCCTAAACCCTAAACCCTAAACCCCCTAAACCCTAAACCCTAAACCCTAAACCCTAAACCCTAAACCCTAAACCCTAAACCCTAAACCCTAACCCTAAACCCCCTAAACCCTAAACCCTAAACCCTAAACCCTAAACCCTAACCCTCAATCAGCCGCAGGTCTTGTGCCCTTCTGGCCTGATCATGCTTCAGGGCACCTGGGCAGCATTGTTGCTGCTGAGTTTGTTTTCTATTAGGGGTCTTTAGGGTTTTAGGGTTTTGGGTTTAGGTTTAGTTTTTTTTTTTTTGTTCTAGTCGGGGCTTTTGGGCTTTTAGGGGTTTGGGGTTTGGGGGGGGGGGGGGGGGGGGGGGGGGGGGGGGTTAGGTGTTTGGGCTTTGGGGATTTGAGGGTTTTAGCGCTTTGAGGCTTTTCGGGGGTTTGGGACTTTAGGATTTCGAGGGCTTAGGGTTTGATTGCATATGGATGGTATACATAGCCGCAACTAATCCAAGCTTGGGCGGGGTTTACGTGAAATTGTGTGTGTGTGTGTGTGTGTGTGTGTGTGTGTGAGTGACCATGTCGGGGCTTTCGGGGCACTCTTCCCAAGTTATCCCAAGCGAGCCATGTGACACAAGTCACAGGTGGATTCAGTGAAGAAGTTCGCACCAGGTTCGTCTAAACCCCCCCCTTGCATCAAGAGTACGTGTTGCTTTGTAAAAAGGAATATAGAAGTGGGCTTAACTCCATGAGGGGTTGTAGGTCTGCAGACTAATGCGCGCTGTCAACGCTTGCTTCCGCTTAGCATGCCCTAAACCCCACCTTTGCCCTAAACCCTAAACCAAACCCAAGCGCGCCGGGGTCTCGCGCGGAACACAGAGTCTACAGGGACATGGGTGCATTTTGCGCGAGCCCCTTGTGTGTTTAAGAGTAAGGAGTACGGTGTAAGGTTTCGGGTTTAGGGTTTAGGGTTTGGGCTTCTGAGGAAATCAAACCGCCAATAGTTTCCCCTTGTCGAAACCCTTGCAGAGTTATGCCAACAAATATCGTATGACCGTTCTATTGAAGCAGAGCCGTGTGGGGGCGTTTAGGGCTGTTGCTTGAAATCCCTGAGTCTTACCCTGAACCCCAGACCCTGAACCCTAAACCCTTCAACCCTTGAAGCCCCTAAAGCTAAGATCGGGGCCAGTACCCAAATCTCCTGCTTAAGAGCAGTAAGGACTAGAGTTCGTAACAACCTGAGTCTCCCATTACAACCCCCCCCGGTCGCGGCGCAGGCGAGGGTTTAGGAAAAACTGCGCGCGATGAAAAATAGAAACTTGATATTTTCGTAATGTTATGGGACCCGGTGGGGTTTGTGCTGGTTGCTCGAACCCCTTCTAAACCAGTAATGTCCTGGCCCTGCCAATCGTAAACTCTAAGCCCCACGCTCTAAGCCCTAAACCCCAAAAGATCTGGGGCCAAGGAAACCACGAGGCAGAGCGAACAAATCAACGCTATGGCTTCATGAAGGAGGCGGGGGGGCGGGGGGCGGCGGGGGGCATGGTTTAGGGTTTGCTTCGGGATCCGAAACTCTCAACCCCAAAACCCCCGTCAACTCCTGACAATACCACGAACCCAGCTGAAGCGGGGTTGGTGTGTCGCGGCCGCCCTAAACCCTAGCCCTAAACCCTAAACCCTAAACCCTAAACCCTGAACTCTGAAACCCTAAACCCGCAGCCCTAAACCCGAAACCCTTACTCCCTTTCTTTCGGGTACAGATCCCTTACCTCTGCAAGCAAGCAGGGTGCCGCGAATGTTGCCTCCCTCTAGCCAACAGGGACATGCTGGCTCTTAGGCTCTAGAGGAAACAAACCGTAAACCCTTTATCCAAAACCCCTAAAACCCCTAAAACCCCCCAAACCCCTAAGACCCCTCAAGCCCTAACGAAACCCCTAAAACCCCTCAAGCCCTAACGCCCTAAAAACCCTAAAAACCCTAAACGCCTCGAAAACCTGAAAAACCCTAAAGCCCTAAAACCTCAACACCCTCAACCCCAATCCCTCAAGCCGAAGCCTATGGGAATTAAGAGCTGAGGGTTCCAGGACTCTCTTTGAGACTTGGGATAGGGTTTAGGGTTTAGGGTTTCGGGTTTAGGGTTTAGGGTTTAGGGTTTAGGGTTTCAATTTTTACGTCCTGTAATTCCTCAGAAACAGCTCTGGGGTCTAGCAAGTCGGAGACCCCCGAGTTGACCTGAGCAGCAGAACCCTGTGTCCGAAGCAAAGTTTAGGGTTGAGGGGGCGCAGCTTTTACTTTTTAAGGTGTTCTTTTCGGGTTTAGGGTTTAGGGTTTAGGGTTTAGGGTTAAGGTGTTCTTTTCCTTAAAGGGTGTGGCTCGGCTCCCCTAGTCCTGTGGTCCTCTGGCCCTCTGGTTTTCCAGTCCTCTGGTCTATGGTCCTCTGGTCCTGGTCCCGTGGTCCCATGGTCCCGTGGTCCTCTGGCCCTGGTCGTCCTCCGGCCCCTCTCTTAAGCTTGTTCCAAAACATATGAATCCATCCGAACCGCTTCAAAGCCCCAACCCCTGCTTCTTAGGCCATGCTTCCTGCGTCAAAGCGTAGGATTTCCTTCCAAGCCTTTCGCGCGGGCGTTGTCTTTGTAATTTACACACGCAGGAATGCTGCAAACAACAGGCCCGAGCCGCACCTTTACAAAAAAAACCCAAGGTGAGGGTTGAGGATTACTTATAGTGGAGTGACTTCGATTTCTGCTTGGAACTCTAAATCCCTCAGCCCTCACCCAAAATCCTCTAAACCACCTAAATCCTCCAAACATCAAGCCGTAAACTCTATAAGCCCCGAACCCGAATCTAAGCCCCAAGCCCCAGTCCAAAGCCTTTGCCCCCCCGGCGCCCCCTTCCCCAAGCCCCAACCCCAAAAGACAAGCACTGGCCCCTGAGGTCAGGTGGAAGCTGGGGCACGGCTCGATTTATCACAGGTTGCTGGGTAGGGCTTTGGGATATTGTTGCGCACTTTCCCTGCGGCTCAAGCCGCCGACCCCACCAGAGCATAGTTGAAAGGTCTAAACCCGCTCGTCGGCTCAAAGGATGCTTTCCTCATCGCATGGTTCGAAGAGCATCGCAGCCTGCTCGGCAGAATCCCAAAAAGTTGTGAAACGCTCGCCTCTGTGAAACGTGGGGGTGGGGGGGGGGTAGGGGGTAGCACCAGGACCCAAATGGGGCAATTTGTTGAAAAGGCCGATCCTTGAAGGGAAAGGCAGGGGGGGTAGGGGGGGGTGGGGGAGGGGGGGGTTGGGGGGGGGTGGGGGGGGGGCAGGGGCCCTCCCCCCTGCATTTTGGGGGGAGGTTTTTCACCTCCAGAAACCTATCCAACACGCCGCCAGGGTCGGCGGACCCAAACTCTAAACCCCAAGCCCTAAACCCTAAACCTGAAACTTTTTTCAGAAGGCTTCGAGGGTGGACCAGCCGAGGTTCAACCAGCTGTTCCAGTTGCTCCCCTTCGTGGCGGTGGCTCCGGACGGGGCTTTGGGGCTTTGGGGGCTTTGGGGCTTTGGGGGCTTTAGGGTTTAGGGTCTAGGGATTTGGGTTTCGGGATTTGGGTTTAGGGTTTAGGGTTTAGGGTTTAGGGGATAGGGTTTCGGGTTTACGGTTGTAGATACAAAGGTAAAGGAGGACTGCGCTCATCTTTTCCCGAGTCCGGCAAGCATTCGCCGACTCGCTGAAGCGGAAAACGGGTGACCGACGAGCAATGGCTTGGGCGTGGTTACCCCTGGGCTTTGCTAGATCAGTGTTAGGGACACTTTTTGCTTTTTGGGTTATGGGCTTTCTTATATGTGAACAAAAAGGATCCTTTTTTCTTCCTAGGGGAACAGGGATTAAGTTTGGAGTCGGACCGATCCAGGATTATCCCTGCAGGTGCTTGTGGCAGACTCCGATAGACTGTGCACATCTCCGTTGGATCCAGTGATTGGGTACCACTTGGACTACAACTTTTCCACTTTCAACTGTATGTACTCAGAAGCCAGGTCTTCGTTGCCATGACTGAGCTACTCACTGGTTGTGGGCAAGGGTTTTTTGTGTCAGCGCACCACGCGCTGGGCTGCAGGGTTAGCCAGCGAACGGTTCCCACCCGTGAGAAACTCAGCAAACCCGAAACTCCTAAACCTCAAACCCTAAACCCTAAACCCTAAACCCTATACCCTAAACCCTAAACCCTAAACCCTAAACCCTAAACCCTAAACCCTCCCCCTCCCCCCCCCCCCACCCTCTGCAGGAGAAGTTCATGGCAACACACGGCGGCCTCTCGCGTGACTTCGTGCATGCTTGCGAGGGCATCTCGACCTCGGGGTGGAGGTTTAGGGTTTAGGGTTTAGGGTTTAGGGTTAGGGTTTAGGGTTTAGGGTTTTAGGGTTTAGGGTTTAGGAGGGGTAGGAGGGTTAGGCGGGTTAGGGGGGTTAGGGGGGTTTGGGGGGTTTAGGGGGGTTGTGAGGGGGGTTACGGGGGTTTTGTTCGGGGGTTTAGGGGGTTTAGGGGGTTTAGGGGGGTTAGGGGGTTTTTTAGGGGGTTTATTAGGGGGTTTTAGTAGGGGGTTTAGGAGGGGTTAGGAGGGGGTTTAGGAGGGGTTTAGGAGGGTTTTAGGAGGGGGTTAGGGAGGGGTTAGGAGGGGGTTTAGGCGGGGTTTAGGAGGGGGTTTAGGAGGGGTTTCGGAGGGTTTAGGAGGGTTAGGAGGGGGTTTATTTAGCGGGGGTTTAGGAGGGGGTTTAGGAGGGGGTTTAGGAGGGGGCTTGGGAGGGGGTTTAGGAGGGGGTTAAGAGGGGGTTTAGGATGGGTTTAGGAGGGGGTTAGGAGGGGGTTTAGGAGGGGGTTTAGGAGGGGGTTGAGGAGGGGGTTAGGAGGGGGTAGGAGGGGGTTTAGGAGGGGGTTAGGGTGGGGTTTAGGAGCGGTCAGGGGGGGGTCTAGGGGGGGGTCTAGGGGGGTCTAGGAGGGGGTCTAGGGGGGGGTTTTAGGGGGGGGTCTAGGGGGGGTATAGGGGGGTGGTCTGTAGGGGGGGTCTAGGGGGGGGTCTAGGGGGGGGTTGGTAGGGGGGGTCTAGGGGGGGGTCTGGGGGGGGTCAGGGGGGGCTAGGGGGGGGGTCTAGGGGGGGGGGTCTAGGGGGGGGTCTAGGGGGGGGGTTCTAGGGGGGGGTCTAGGGGGGGGTCTGGGGGGGGTCTTAGGGGTTTAGGGGGCGGTTAGGGGGCGGTTTAGGGCGGTTGTAGGGGGCGGTTTAGGGGGCGGTTAGGGGGCGGTTTAGGGGGCGGTTTAGGGGGCGGTTAGGGGGCGTTTAGGGGGCGCGGTTAGGGGGCGGGTTTTAGGGGCGGGTTAGGTTAGGGGGCGGTTTAGGGGGCGGTTTTAGGGGGCGCGGTTTTAGGGGGCGGTTTAGGGGGAGGGTTAGTGGGGCGGTTTAGGGGGCGGTTAGGGGGCGTGTAGGGGGCGGTTTAGGGGGCGGTTTAGGGGCGGTTTAGGGGGCGGTTTAGGGGGTGGTTTAGGGGGGGGGTAGGGGGTGGTGTAGGGGGTGGTTTAGGGGGTGGTTTAGGGGGTGGTTTAGGGGGTGGTTTAGGGGGTGGTTTAGGGGGTTGTTTAGGGGGTTGTTTAGGGGGTTGTTTGGGGTTTAGGGGGTTTAGGGGGTTTAGGGGGTTTAGGGGGTTTAGGGGGTTTAGGGGGTTTAGGGGGTTTAGGGTTTGGGGTGTCAAGTCCTCCCCTTCCTAAGTGCCAGACTGGTGCACGCCCCACCCTAACTACCAACTGCCACCCAGTTGCCTCCCAGCTCACCAAAAACCCAAGTCTGAAGCTTTCCGGAGGCCTTCGTCTCTTTGGGTTTAGGGTTTAGGGTTTAGGGTTTAGGGTTTAGGGTTTAGGGTTTAGGGTTTAGGGTTTAGGGTTTAGGGTTTAGGGTTCAGGGTTTAGGGTTCAGGGTTTAGGGTTTAGGGCTTCGTCAGCATAGCGGGTAGTAGAGGATCCCATACAACTTGGCATTGCGCTTTCCACCACCTTGGATGCAGGGATACGAAGCCCAAATCCAATATAAACCTATATCAATACAATACAGGGTACAGGGAAAAACCTTCAAATCCAAGGCACTTAAAAAACCCTGAACCCGGACCCTGTAAACCTACCCTAAACGCCAAACCATCAACCCCATGTGCCTTAAACCCTTATCTGAAGCCAAACCCTGGCTTAGGGTTACTATAGCAGCGGGGCTGCAAGCTCGCAAAGGTATGGAGGGGATTTTGAGGGGTGGTTGGGCCTCGGGCCCGGAGCAGGCCCTTATTCCCCTTTCTGTGGGTTTAGAAGCCCATGCAAACCAAAAGAGGGTACGCAGAACCCTAAAGCCCTAAACCCTAAACCCTAAACCTAAACCCTAAACCCTAAACCCTAAACCCTAAACCCTAAACCCTAAACCCTTGGGCCTAGTGGCGGGTTTTGGGGTGTGGAAGACAGGCTTTGGGGGGAGGTTTGGGTTCAGGGGGTTTAGGGGCTGGTGGTTTTGGAGTTTGGGGTGGGGTCCATCCAGGACCCTACGTAAGCTCTAAACCCTAAACCCTAAGCCCAAAACCCCAAACCCCAAACCCCACACCCTAAACCCTAAACCCTAAACCCTAAACCCTAAACCCCAAACCCTACACCTTTTGCCCCAGGCATGGCTGGCGACTTCCGACGTTGCCTCAGCTACGACATTGGGTCGAGAATGGTTTGGAGCCTTAGTAGCTGAGTAATTAACCTTTAACCTGTTTGGGGTAGATATAATTCTACCATACTTGAACCCTAAACCCTAAACCCTAAACCCTAAACCCTAAATCCTAAACCCTAAACCCTAAACCCTAAACCCTAAACCCTAAACCCTAAACCCTAAACCCTAAACCCTAAACCCTAAACCCTAAACCCTAAACCTCCCTTTTTTGGCCCAGGGTGCTCAGCAACGAAGGAGCGATCCCCATATGGGCCATGGATGGGCGCAATCCAAGCGCGGGGGCAGCATCGAGAACTATGGCTTGGATGCGCTTGGGGCGCAAGGAGAACCCTAATGTACGTACAAGTACGTACAAGTATGTACAAGTATGTACAAGTATGTACAAGTATGTATGTATGTATGTATGTATGTATGTATGTATGCATGCATGTATGTATGTATGTATGTATGTAGCTATGTAGCCGACATGGGCATCCCTATCAAAGGGACAGTCGGCGTGAGCATATGATGCCGACCCAAAGAACCCGCATCATGAGCATCAGCTGGGACCCGGCCGCATCAGCTGGCAGGGTGATTCTGTCACGGCCCCTGGCCAGGGGAGTGGCCGAATTGAGAACCTAAACCCTAAACCCTAAACCCTAAACCCTAAACCCTAAACCCTAAACCCTAAACCCTAAACCCTAAACCCTAAACCCTAAACCCTAAACCCTAAAGCCTAAAGCCTAAAGCCTAAACCCTAAACCCTAAACCCTAAACCCTAAACCCTAAACCCTGGCATGACGCGCGGCGGGGGGGGGCGCCGGAGCCTGGCAGGGACCCCCAGCTGCTACATGAATAGCTTCGTGCACCCGAGATGCTCCTGATGGGTTTAGGGTTTAGGGTTTAGGGTTTAGGGTTTAGGGGACTGTTTTTTTCTAAGAGAACAGCGCCGGGCAAGCTGTGTGCAGAAACTTGCGCGAAAAACCATGGTATTCACGGCAGCTTCACGTGCTTTTTGGTTCACACAGTGGGCCTAAATCCGCCAAAGCAGCGGAGATATGTTGGTGATGCTGTCCCGCGGCCCTGATGCCCAAGGCCAACCTGGACGGATGAAGAGCGGAAGCGAGCCGACAACCGGGTTTAGGGTTTGGGGTTTAGGGTTTAGGGTTTGGGGTTTGGGGTTTGGGGTTTAGGGTTTAGGGTTTAGGGTTTAGCTCATGATGCGGCGGAAGGCCCAGCTGATGCTCATGATGCGGGCGATGCTGTGGGTTTTTGGTCGGCATCATGTGCTCACCCCAACTATCCCTTGGATCGGGATCCCCTTTGGTTATTCGGGGTATTGCTTTTGGAGTGTTTTGTAGGCATGAAGCCGTAAAATGAGAGCGTGTTTAGGGTGTTTTAGGGGAACAAAAAAACACGCGAGATTTACGAGGATTTTTCCTGTTGGGAACCACCCCCAAAAAAGCATCATGAGCATCAGCTGAGTCTTTGGATAGCTCGATGATGCCCCTCTCCCCCACCCCGCGCATCAGCAGCATCAGCAGACCCCTCGCCCCCCGACATGGGTTCCGATGATGCTCACTTTGGGGGCGGGTCAGCCGCAACATGCGTGGGGTCGAAGGCGCGCGCGCGAAAAGCCTCATAAAAAAACACGTTGTTTGCAGCGAGTTCAGCGTTTTTTACTGCCTTGATGTAGGCTGCCTAGAGGCTACGCGCAAGTTCAAGTTTACGGCTTCACCTCTACGTGGAAACCCCGAACCCTAAACCTCGGACACTTTTAGGGGTTCTTAAGCAATTCGTAGAAATCCGAGGTTTAGGGTTCAGGGTTTCCATCCACGTAGAGGTGAAGCCGTAAACTTGAACTTGCGCGTAGCCTCTAGGCGGCCGACATCCTCCACTTTACTAAATCTCGTGGGGTTTAGGGTTTAGGGTTTAGGGTTTAGGGTTTAGGGTTTAGGGTTTAGGGTTTAGGGTTTAGGGTTTAGG